TCTCAAGGAGTGACTGGTGGGTTCAAACTGTCAAACTTTTGGTTATTTATCAGCCCAACACTTAACCTACCATGACACCAGAGCTCCTCCTCCACCTCGTTTCCTCAGAAGAGGTAGGTCAAGAGCAGGGCACTCTTGTAGGCTCTCCTGGTGTGGAACCTGGCTCTGTTATTTTCTGTGGGGCCTTGAGTAATCCACTCAATGTCTCTGCTTCAGTTGCCTTATCTCTACAATAGGGATAACAATACTGATAGGTGGTTTTAATGTTGATGAAAAGGGTTTGATAAAAAATGCTCAGAATAGTGACTGATAATGGTAGTGAGCTTTTTAATGTGTTGTTTTTGTTGAATATCAACCCATAGCTGACCCTCTGGTGGGTTTTAGAGGCAGTTCATCTCACAGGAGGAGATAGTACATCTTTTGCCCAGGTCACAGCTGGTGCCTTGGGGATTGCACTGCACCTTGTTGTTGCTGTTTTAGAGCTAGCTCATGCTTCTCCCTCTCTGGCTAGTGTGTTTCTTTCACATTTCCCTACTCCTCTGGTGGCGCTTAGAGTCTAGCCCTGTCAGGCTCCCTTGCACTGATGGTGTTTCATTCCTGAAGAGTTGGGTTCCTGTGCTGATAACTCCAGATCTGTTTACAGCCCACTCACTCTCCCTGACCTCTTCCTGTTGTATGCACTGGAGTTAAATTCAGCTGAAAGCAACCCCATATGACAGAAGAGCACTGTTTAACAGTGCTTCCTTGGCTGTAAATCATTATGGGAGCATATCACCAGATCTTTTTTTTTTACTAGTCGCTGCTGATGGGTTTGAACTGTTGACCTTCAGTAAACATGCTTAATAATTCTGTCTCCAGGGTTCATCTTCTGGAGCTAGGTCCCTGTAAACCTTGTGGACACCTTTTAAAGTACCTCAAGCCTATTGTTGTTAAGTGCTATTGAGTTGTAGACGACTCATGGAGGAGACCCTGTGAACAGAAGACCTGAACACTTATATAACTTTCATTGTTTCTCCAGGTTCATAGAGTTTCCGGAGGCAATCTATTTTAAAGTGGATGCCACTCCTGCTTCCAAGCTTGTTTTAATTGGGGAGTTCCACCAAACACTGTCCACCATGGGTAACCATTATCACATTTGACACATCAGTGTCACAGTGCTTAGCATCACAGCAACCACGAGTTACCTCTGTACAGCAAATGGACAGACCAGTGCTATACGACCCAGAAGAATGTTTGACCAAAAACAATTAAAACCAGGCCTGAGGACCGCAGGTTAAAGTCAACTTACCTTTGACTTGGTAGCGTCACTTTCTTTTACTAGGCCAGCTAATCTCTCTCTCTCTTGTTGTTGGTAAGTGCCATCGAGTCGTAGGCAACTCATAGCAACACTATGAATGAAAGACCTGGACATTTGTATAAATTTCATCATTTCTCCAGGTTCATAGGCTCTCTAGTATATTGAAAAACTGAGTTTGTCATCTTGGCTATCCCTCTTCACATCACTCCATTCCACTTAACTTTTCCGTGTTGTATTTTCTCATCTGTCAGATAATACCTTCATGTATTTGCTATAGTGGTTAAATTAGGTGGTTCATGCCTATACATATTCGTGCACAACAGGAATGCCAGTTACAAAGGCCTTCCTATCTGTTCTGTTAGGATTACAGCCAAGGAAACCCTGTGCCTGAGAAGCAGTTCTACTCTGTAACATGTGGGGGCGCTGTAAGTCAGATTCAACGCGAAGGCAGCTAATAACAACGTGAAAATATAATAGTTGTCATTCTTGGTATTTCCTGTTTGGTCAGTGACAACATTTCTCTGTTAATCTAAACAACAAAGTTGGGAATGAGGTTGATTTGTCTGCCTCTTACCTTTTTACCCTAACTGTATCATTTCCTAGTACTGTTCCTAAGGAGTTCTGGTGGCCAAAAGGTAAAGAATTTCTTGCCAACCCAAAAGCAGATGGTTCAGATCTACCAGCTACTTCTTGGGAGAAATATGGACAGTCTCCTTTCATGCAGTTTACAGCCTCTGAAAACCCCCTGGAGCGTCAGCTGTGAGTCACTTCTGATTTGATGGCATTGAGTTGAATTGAGCTTATTATTTCTCCTGTGAGTCCTAAAACAGTTTCCCAAACAATTTTTATGATCTGTTTTTCTTTCTGCTACCAGAGTTCTGTTTGTAATGCATTTGTCAGATCATGCCATTTTCTGGCTTAAATTCTTCTGTGATTAACTGTAGGATTTTGTCCTAATAGTAAATTTGTGTGCTTCACAAACTTTGGTGTGCAGCATATTATCTAGGAATCTTGTTAAAATGAAAATTTTGGCGCAGTAGGGCTGGGCTAGGGCCCAACACTATTTCTCATTGCTTCTTGGAATGTTCACGTTGCTGCTTTGAGGACCACATTTTTTAGTAGTAAGTCTGTAAAGAGCCCCTTTGACATAAGGACATATAGTCTCTTCATGCCCTTTTCCCACTGTGGGCCAGCCTCATCTCTCATTGCTTCTTTCTTGGCATTCTGTCCTTCATATTTAAGTCAAGGGGTTGCTAGACTTACCTTCTTCCTGCTTTTCCAGTATTCTTCTTTCCTAACTTTTTCTATTCTTCCTTCAGAAGTGAGATCTTCCTGATCCCAATTTTGAGGCTTATCCAGTGTTTTCATATAGCACACCCCACTTTACATTTGTTGTAATATCACCTTGCATTATAGTTGACAGCCTCTCTTCCCAGTGCTCCTCTGAGGCCCTAGAGGATAAGGGAAATAGCTCAGAGCTCATATAATCTTATCTATTGATAACTCTTCATTAACTTTCTTCCTACCCACCTTCACTTTTGGCACCAGCAGAAGAGCTTGATTTTCCTGGTCAGTTTCATCCTCATAGATTTCTTTCTCCAGTTCTTCAGTGCTTTCAGTTCTCCTTTCCAGCTTGTGTTGCAATGAGCAGCACTGACCCGAGGATGTATCTTAACATGCTGTTCTCTAGCTCAAACCTATGACTGCTACCCAGCCCTTCTTCCCCACCCCTGTTAACTAATAGACAGTAAACTCATTCCTTAGTCACGCTGTTAAAGACTGATGATCTTTTCCCAACCCTGCTCTCTTCTTGGCTTGATATGTCACAACACAGGAATTTCTCAGACTTTTCTGTATGTTAAAAAAAATAATCTGGAATGCCTTTAAAGAGTGAATTTCTGAACCTTGCTTTTAGAGATTGAGTCAGTAAGTTTATTTTTAGAGATTTTAATAAAAGTTGTGTTCTGAACCTCATTCTGAGATATACGGAATTGACCTTGCCCTCTTGACTATTTTGAGCCTTGCTTGATTCTGTTCCCCACAGGTTTCTCTGTTGCCAGGATCTCCTGCTTAATAACTACTCAGTAATAGTTGAATTGGTAATAGCTATTTTAAGTGGTAAGATTACTGTAGATACATTTGTCAGCCCTGTTTTATTTCTTTTTCTATTCCCTGACTTGAATGTTTCACTTTTAGTAGGATGTGTGAGAAGACTTGGTACATGGTAATGACCCAGTAAAGGTTTTTGCTATTTTTAAAAGCAATTGGGAAAACTGCCTTCTTTATATTAAAACATTACTGGCAGTCTCCTATGGTGAAAGGCACTTCATTACCTTGACTAATAATAACCATGAAATAATATAGGAAATGACTTGCAAAATTTTTTGACAGCTTTTTTTCTCATGAAAAAGATTTTTTTAAATGAAAAACTCTAAAAGGTAATTAATAAAAGTTCGGTGCAAAAACTTGGGAAATTTAGAAATGCCAAAGGAAAAAAATGCATGTATCCTCAAATACTCTGATGACTCTGTTCTTCTGGTGTTTTGAGGTTTTTGTTTTTTTAAAATCTCTATGAATAGTTTTGTTAGCAGAGTGATTTATTTTGTACATATTATTTCATAGCCAGATTTCCCCCTAAGTACTATATTGTGAATATTTGCCCATGTCAAGAAATATTCTTCTGCAGTATAATTTTCAATGGTTTATTGCATATATCAGTCATTCTTTACTCAGTCAGTTCTTCTGATAGGGACTTCTAACTTTTTGACAGTATACATGTAAACCGAGGTGATTTAAAAGACTTTATGTGCCACGGTAAGAAGACATCAATTGTAGGTGTTAATGAATTTGACTGTAATTACAAAGCACTAATTTTTTTTCTACAATGACACTATTTCTGTAAAAACTTGGTGATTATGGTGCTAATGTTAAGAAGATTAATCTAGTTTAGAGGTTGGAAGGACTAAAAAAAATGCAGGAATATCAAAGCATTCAGAAATAAATTTTTAAATCCTTAACTATAATTCCATGTTTGGAGTTTCAGTGTGCTAGTCCCAACATCTTTCTAGAAAGAAATTCTCCAAAATACAGAGGTAGACAGATCAAGATTATTAATTTGTAGACTAGGAATAATCAAATTGTATATTAGTTCTAGTTTGAGGAAAAGGATCCCTCTCACCAGTATTTTGGAAGCTTTAGGGTAGAATGAATTGTATTATAATCTATCCACTAATACACCTGTCTCCTCTTGTTAGCCAAGTAGACTATTACCAGTTAATGAAAGCCACTTAGGATTTGCTAAGCCCTTGCATTCATATTTAATTACAGGGTAGCCCCAAGGTCTAGCTGATGGTTCAGAAGTTGTTGGTTTTAGAAATGAGAAAGTTGACTTAAGCTAAAGGGAGAAGAAATATAGTAGACACTTACTGAAAAAAGAGTAGTTATGTGGGAAATAATTTCTGAGACTTAAGACTCAGCTTAATGTAAGCAAATTGAACATTTTGAAACTTGCTTATGGTGAGCATGTGGACCGATTCTGCATTTGGACTGAAAGTGCTCTTTGAAAGTTAGATGAGCTGTACACAACTTGGCAGAAAACTGCCTCCTTCAAAAGCAACTATAACCTTCCCTTGTAAAAGATGATGGCTACAGGTCTCAACAGCACTTTGAAAAGCCCAGAGATCCAGAGGGCCCTCCGAGCACCATGCAAGATGATTCATCACAGAGTCCTGAAGAAGAGCCCACTGAAAACCTCAGAATCACGTTGAAGCTAAACCCATATGCAAAGACCATGCACCAAAATACCATTCTCTGCCAGTCTAGGAATCACAAACTCCAGAAGGCTAAGGCGACTGTAGCACAGGAGGCCAAATCACTTAAGAAGGGGCTTCCTCCAAGCAAGAAGCCTGTGGTAGGGAAGAAAGGAGGGAAGAAAGCTGCTGTTGATGTGAAGAAGAAGCCCAAGAAGCCTGTAGTGGGAAAGAAGGCTGCAGCCACCAAGAAACCAGCAGGGGAGAAGCAACAGCCAGTAGAAAAGAAACCTGCCCTAGAGGAGAAGTCTGCAGCATAAATTCTCAAAACCTCCATTGGGACAGCTTATTTTGACTAAATACCTAACCAAAAGGCAGTAACAAGTAAAAAAAAAAAAGAAGAAAAAAAAGCATGAGTGGAAAAACTGATTCCAGCTACAAAATGGCTTAATTTGAACTTGCTTAGTTTGCGTTCATTTGGAATATTGTTTGTAGGTAATTGAATAGAGTCTTAGTTTGAGCATTACTAGGCCTTCTTTGAATGCTGTTTGCTCCATTCAGCTTGATTCCTTAAGTAGTCCTGTGGTTTTCATTCTTCACTCTCATAGCACAGTGACATCAGATGCAGCTGGAGCTCAAAGCAGACGTGTAATGTTAATTAATGCCAATGAAAGAAAAACTCCCTCAAATAATGGACTAGCAGCAGCCTCATGAAAAGACCTTAGAGCTTTGTTTTTTCTGCTCTCTGCACTCCCCCTCCCCCCAAGACTAGAGAAGGAGAATGGTAGAGATTGTTCACTTGAGACCCTTTTAAACTATTCATCCATTTTAACATCATAATATGATGGTTTTGATTTCAAATGAGTCTCTCAGAACATATTGTGATTCTCTTTTATTTGCTCTTGAAGCTTTCTCTTTGCCTTGATTGACATAGTTTCCAGGTGGTAAATGAACTCTGGCTCTACGGAACTTAAAATTGGCCAGAACCAGTGTTTGTGTGTACTCTGGTAGGAAATATTAGGTCATTTCACCTGCTGAGTTTTTAGAGGGAAGGTAAAGCTGTGGACAAATGTCCCCATCACTGTCCAGTCTCTGTCAGCTGAACTTGCTGTCATAAAGTCCAATTTTAAAATAAGTGTTTGGAATTCTAAACGGCTGTATGCAGAGAGAACCACAGAGAAAAACAAGTATAGAAAAAAGTAGGAAGATTCTTCCTTATATGTTATCTTGGTTTTCCATCTCAACAAGTCTGAAATCAGTATGAGCTTCTTATGATCTAACCTTTGAGGATACTGTCTTTGGGCATACGTCTTTTTCTCAATGCTGTGAGGTTAGAAAAAACTCACAGTTGATCCTCCTTTGGGTTTCTGAGGCTATAAATTATATAGGAGGGAGGAGATTGTCTAATTTCCCCCCCTGTAATATAACAGGAAATCTTCCTGAGCTGCTGGTAGAGTCACACTAGTAGAGAGACGTGACCTTTGGGTGAGCATCACAACTCCCTAAGGCCTCAACCTGCTACTAATGTTATATATAGCAGAAAAGAGAGTAGGAGGAATTAACATAGATGTTTTTCAGATTCTTATCAGATAAAAGGACAATGGGTTTCATTATGTTGTCAGAAAAATATTTAGGATTTTAAATGTATTTAGGAGCTAAATGTCTGGAAGCATAATAATAAAAGGAAAAAAGTAATAAATGAAAGAAGACATAAAAATGTAAAACTAAAAATAGAACTGAAGAAAGGACAGTTTGAGACTGGGAAATCGGGTATATTTACCTAAATGTTAGTTACCAACTATGTGTAGGGCACTAGAGTTAAAAGCTGACACAAAGATACAACCTAACAACTTAGAAATGGTGTCATGTCTATAAATAATACTGGGCTGTTGACAGTTGCTTTAGAGGTGGCAAGCAGAGTAGATGAATCATAGGAGGGATCAGAACACACAAAACTAATACTGGTTGATGTACATTGTGTTTCTACTTTTGTTGTTGTATGTTGTCTTTCTGTTGTAAACTTTTTTCTCTATTTGCCAATTATAATTTTTTAATTCTCTAGCACTAGCTATAAAATGTTTGGATTACCTATACAAGGCTTTTGAATAGATGTAATTAATTGAAACAGCTTTGCCACTGTAAGATTTGTGTGAACTTTGTATATTATGAAAAAATAGAGAAAAACTATTATTTATGAATATGATCAAACATTATTAAATTAGATGATTAAATAATAAATTCATAAAGTGAATAGGAAATACAGAGAAGAACAAACAAATAATAATGGTTGGGCTCCTTGGGTTCGTGCTGTCAGGACATGGGTGAGGCCACTGTCATCCAGGCAATATTCTGTCCACTGACCCCAAGTTGCTAAAGGGCAAGACTTTGTCATGTTACTGCCTCCTCTCAGCAGTAACCTTCCAAAGGTTCGATGGAAAGGTCTCAGTAAGCAGGTGGGCAGAGCAGAGGAAAGCTGCTTGCATGCAGGACACACATCTGTCCCCATGGGAACGCTGATCAGTGAGCCCGGGCAGGGCGTCCAGCTTGGTGGACATTGTGCAGCACCCAAGGGTAAGTGTAGAGAGGAAGACATGCAGCAAGGGAATTCTTGCTTTTGAGGGGCGAGACCCCCAGGGAACTGAGCCCCAATCTTCACGTAGGCTGACCCCGTATCCTGTCCCATAAAACAGGACCTTCAACTATTGAGTCAAGTATACTCATAGTGACCCTGGGAACAATAGATCTGCACTCTGTCCTGTCCTGTGCCGTCTTCACCATCTCTGGCATTGTGTCAGTCCAGTAGGTTGAGGGTCTTCTTTTCTCTTGCCGACCCTCCACCTTTCCAAGCATTATGTCTCTCTTCAAGGAATCACCTCTCCCAAAGAGTTGAGGAGTTGCCCAAAGTATATGAGATGAAGCTTCATCATCTTTACCTCCTAGGAGCACTCTGACTGCATCTTTTCTTTTCGTTCTTTTGGCAGTATGTGGGATATTCAGTACTCTTGCCCAGCACAACAACACAAAGGCATCAATTCTTCTGTCTACCCTTATTCATTGCCTAGTTCTCAGATGCATAGCAAGTAATGGAAAAAACCATGGCTTGAATCAGGCACACTTTAGTCCTCAAACTTACATCATTATGCCTCAATAATTTGGAGAGGTCCTTGATTGAGACTTTCCCAGGGCAGTGTATCTCCTTATCTTCTAACTGTTAGTATCAAGCGTATTGATTGTGGGTTCCAGTAAGATGAGATTGTGGGCTGATGTTCTCTAAGGAGAAGGAACTGCTCCGACTGATAGCAGTGCATGACAGAATGAAACCCTGCCTGATTCTGTACCACCCTCACTGTCCCTGCTGTGGCTAAGCCCACTGTTACAACTGTGGCATTGTTACTGTCATGTTAGTATAGTTCACAATATACATCAACAGAAAATGACATGGCCTGGGATTGTCACAATTACTGATGCCATGTGGTGTGTTTTATTTACTACAATACAGAAGAGACACTCTACAACAAAGATTGTGGGTCTTCACTCTCATTTCGTATCAGTGATGGACCTATGTGGGTATGAATTATCTGACTCTTAATACTATAATTTAAAACTCAGAATCCCAATAATAATTATAAAACCCCCCCAAAATCAACAAAATGGTAATGTGTTGTGTTTAAGAACATGATCTCCAGAATGAGGTGGAACTTGCCTTGTAACCACTGGCAAATTAGTGGCTATGCTTACCCTTATCGGGCACCATAGAGATCTTATATCTGTGTGGATTTGTGAGTGTGTCTATGCATATACATTTATAAACACAATTCTTGGTTTGTTAAAGGGAACTCCATTAGTGTTACCTATGTGAACTATTAGCTTGCCAATTTTAAATGATTCATAAAGACTCATTTCTTGAAAAATCATGGATTGCCCTTATTATACACTTAGTGCCCTGACAGGTTCCAAGACATGCGTTACTCACACTATCACAATTTCCCCTACCTTCTAGGTAGAATCATTGAGTTACTGCTCCCTCAGTTAGAATCTGCCTGGAGCTCAGCATTGTTTCTACTGACACGGCTGTAGCTTTCGTACCAGTCTCTTTAATCTCTCTCCATCATCAGCATTTTCACTCAGCCTTTTTCCTGGTAAAAAGGAAGCTGTATTCTAAACTGGGGTTCTTAAAAGTTCTGCACCTAGTTATAATTAGCTAGCATTTTAAGCATAATGTAGATGTGAGTCAGAAACTGTTGGTTGGATTCCAAATGCCAATCCCAATCCCTTTCCCTTGCCAGTGTAGAGGCTCAAAAACCAAATATTCCATTTTCTAATTTACCATGCAGCCTGGGCTACCTATATGACTCATTTCTAACTAATGTAATATAACAGGAGATCTTCTGGAGGCTCTCTGCTGAGGGGAAAACAATTTGAGTTCTCAGATAAAAAGAACAGAAGCAAGAAAACAACTTGGATGCTTACCCTGTTCTTCCTTCTTCCATCCTTACATGTAGATTGTGATGTGTGGAGTTGCGGCAGCAGTGTTGCTGCAATCATGAGGCAGTAGTCTGAGGATTGAGAACCAATAAACTCAGGTGCTGGAGAAAAAAAGAAAAAAGTCTTTGTGCTTTAATGACATGATTGGACTGTCTACTCTGAGATGATAACTTGAACAACTTACTAAAACTTTAATTTCCCCATTTATTATGAAAATTTAAACTGTGTGTTTTTGTTTGTTAATTGCCACCAAGTTAGTTCTGACATATCGCCACCCCGTATACAACAGAATGAAACTCTGCCTCATCCCACACCATCTTAAAATTCTCTGCTTTGCTAGGAAAATGCAGCTATTTTATGAGATAAATATAATACTAACATTTTCTAGTGAGAAATTGTTATCATTTTACTTTTATCAGTTACTTAATTTTAGGATATGAATTATATATAGGCCTCCTTTGCATCTTTTTAAAACTAATTCTGAAGGAAAACACTAATTCTTTCTTTGTGTCACTGAAGAAATAAACCAAAATGTTCTTCTTTACCACATGACACAGTGGTAGACTTATGCTTTCAATGGGAGCTGACACATACAAACCCCTATACATGTCTTTTACATTGATTCACAAGGTTGATAGGCCCTCTGTTCCCACACAAAAGGTTTTGAGAATGGCTGGTCTTATATTATGGGTCAGTCATTTGTGTAGATGCTGCATGATCAGAAGATGCATTATTTCTGGGTCAGAATAAAAAGGAGCATTTATAAATGTTCCATAGGCGAGAAGAGAGGGCTGTAAATGCATCACGATTAGGGATTTAAATTTTACGTATGTGA